CACCACATGCTTCGGAACCCATTGCTAACTGCCCTTTACTTAATATGATAACAGTCACACAAAATACTCTCAATCTAGGGAAAAACTGGAGACTGAATGACAAGCACACAGTATGCACATGTGAGCACAAACAATAAACTAACAAGGGTGGCCTACAGTTCATGGAACAAAGAAAACAGACAGGTCTTGAATGTGGCCAGTATGGCCCATACTAGACAAACACTGGAGTTAGCAGACTTGCCCTGATACTTCAGAAAACAACCAGACAATATCGTTATGGACAGTGTGTGGAATTACGCACTTTTGTCCATTTTGTTGGATAATTAGAGTATTTCTCCAGTCAATTTTTTATTCAGAACTGCCAAAATCCATAAATGACAGGTTCATTAATAAGAGAGTTTACTGTACGTATGGTTTTCATAACATTAATGTGGGGAACAGCAACACAAAATGGTAGTGGCAACTGTAAGCTCCTGACAGTTGGTAACTAAACCATGACTACAATGGACACTTATTTGTTCATTTCACCCAAAACTGAGATTTTTAAAGTATATAGCAAACAAGAGAACCATGGGTCTATGATTCAATATAGAGAGAACATGCAGTACAAACAGCATTAAGAAAATAAACTTACCTACAAGCATACTGACAGTCTCTTCAGCACCTTTATGGTTCACATCGGTGGCCACAACTCGTGCTCCATCTTTTGCAAGTATGCGACAAACAGCTCGCCCTATTCCTCCTCCTGCACCTAAAAACAAAGCCTTGTTTCAGATTAGACATATTCTTTACTACAGTATACCTGGAGTATACCTGGAGAGGGTTTCGGGGATCAACGCCCCCCACAGCCCGGTCTATGACTAGGCTTCGTAGTGGATCAGAGCCTGATCCACTGTTACTATTGGTTGCATGCAAACCAACGTACAATGGAACCCCGAGTTTCAAATGCATCGACTCTCAAACTCTTCGAATTCTGACCGCTTTTTTCGAACCAATTTTGTCCCGAGTATCGAACGTGCCCTGTGTTTCACACTGTGTACCAGACCTGTCCGCCTGCCCCACGCTTGTGTGCCTCCCCGTGCAGGCATGAGTCAATGTGGCTTTGTTTCACCTCGAGTGAACATTACATTATATACTAGGCATTAAAGTGCCCCAGAGCGATAAAATGCATGTACACCATACTCATTACTTACCTTAAAATATCTGTAGTCTTAATGGTCTTAATATAGGGTGCAAGGTGAGTAGTAAGGTAGGCAGGTATCAAAGCGTGGTAGGTATATAACCCCCATCTGGCCACCCCACCCCACACATTATATACTACTTGGCATTTAAAGTGCTCTAGAGTGATAAAATGCATGTACAGTACACTCATTACTTACCTTAAAATATTTGTAGTCTTAACAGTCTTAATATAGGGTACAAGGTGAATAGTAACGTAAGTAGGTATCAGTGTGGTAGGTATGTAACCCCCATACGGCCACCCCACCCCACACATTATACAGTAGGCCTTTAAAGTACCCCAGAGTGATAAAATGCATATACAGGACACTCTTTACTTACCTTAAAATATTTTTAGTCTTAATGTAGAGTGAGAGGCAAGTAAACAAGTTTAAATGAATAAATGAGAGAGAGTGAGAGTGTAGAAGGTTCGTGAGTTTTGTAAACAAACCAGTTGTTTTTGTTGTTGTTGCTGTTACCAGCCTGGATACAAATGGTTTTTGTTCACTCTGTCAAGTCAACTGGAAAAAATCTCATATTTATGTTAATTTATATGTTTATATGGTACATAATGTATTTATTATATAATTTTAAAAGAAATATTATAGACTAAGCAAAATGTCCATATTAATGTTTCATACATTTAATGCACCTCAGAGTGATTATTGTTATTATTATTATTATGGCATCTTCGTGACTAATAACACACTATTAATGATTTTAATGTGTTCCTGCATGCCAGCAGGAAAGAATGGGAAGATGTTTTCACAACTGGAGCAAGAATGCCCATGACCATTGTGCTCCCCTGCCACTACATAAGGATGACATACATATTTTAATCATTCTAGAGTGTGTATCAGGCTTTTATGTTATTTACATTGTTTATTATGTCATATTAGATGAATTGTGATACATAAATAAGCCATAGAGTTGATAATAGCATCATATTGAAGTACTATTTTGTTATGTCTCCTGAATTAATTGGATTTACATTATTTCTTATGGGAAATATTGCTTCGAGTTTCGAACATTTCAACTTTAGAACTAGCTCCTGGAATGGATTGAGTTCGAAACTCAGGGTACCACTGTACGAACTACAGCCCAGCTGGTCAGGTACTGACTTTAGGTGCCTGTCCAGCACCTTCTTGAAGACAGCCAGGGGTCTATTTGTCATCCCCCTTATGTATACTAGGAGGCAGTTGAACAGTCTTGGGCTCTGACACTTATTGTGTTTCTTAGTGTACTTGTGGCACCCCTACTTTTCACTGGGAGGATGTTGAACCTCCTGCCTAGCCTTTTGCTTTCATAGGGAGTGATTTTTGTGTGCAAATTTGGGAATAGTCCCTCTAGGATTTTCCAAGTGTATATCATGTATCTTTCTCGTCTGCATTCCAGGGAGTGCAAATCAAGGGATTTCAACCGTTCCAAATAATTTAGGTGTTTTATCAAAAGTTTTCTGTATATTCTCAGGTCTGCAATTTCGCTTTCTCTGAAAGGTGCTGTTAGTGTGCAGCAATGTTCCAGCCTTAAGAGAAGTGATTTGAAGAGAATCATCATGGGCTTGGCATCCCTAGTTGAAGGTTCTCATTATCCATCCTATCATTTTTCTAGCAGATGTGATGGATAAATTCTTGTGATCTTTGAAAGTGAGATCCTCTGACATTATCACTCCCTGGTCCTTCACATTAGTTTTTCACCCTATTGTGTGATTTGAATTTGTTTTATACTCCAATACACTTTTAATTTCCTTGAGTTTTCCATATCAGAATGATTGAAGTATCTCTTCACTAAACTTTATAATGTTTTTCGCAGCCTGTGTAAAGATTTGGTTGATGTCTGCTTGAAGTCTTTCAGTGTCATCGATGTATGACACTGTCATGCAAATTCAGGTGTCATCTGCAAAGGAAGACACTGTGCTGTGGCTTATATCTCTATGTCAGATATGAGGATAATGAACAGGATGGGGCAAGTACAGTGGACCCCCGGTTCACGTTATTAATCCGTTCCTGAGAGCTCATCGTAAAGCAAAATTATCGGAAAGCGAATATGAGAAATAATGGAAATCAAATTAATCCGTATAAGACACCCAAAAGTATGAAAAAAAAAACTTTTACCACATGAAATATTAAGTTTAATGCAATAGAATAGTAATTACAATAACAACAATAACAATAAATAACAAAAGAATAATTGACACTTACCTTTAATGAAGATCTGGTGATGATTGATGGGATGGAAGGAGGGGAGAGTGTCAAAGTTTTTAATGTTTAGAAGGGGAATCCCCCTCCATTAGGACTTGAGGTAGCAAGTCTTTTTCCAGGGTTACTTCCCTTCTTCTTTTAATGCCATTAGCACCAGCCTGAGAGTCACTGGACTTCTGTCGCACATACATGTATCTGTCCACAGAGACCTGTACCTCTCGTTCCTTTATGACTTTCCTAAAGTGGTTCACAACATTGTCAGTGTACAGGTTGCCAACACGGCTTGCAGTAGCTGTGTCAGGGTGATTTTCATCAAAAAAGGTTCGCACTTCAAGCCACTTGTGCACATTTCCTTAATCTTTGAAATAGGCAACTTCGTCAATTTCTCTCTCACCTCCTCCGAAGCAGTTTCCTCAGGTCTGGCCTCTTGCTGTTGAAGATGATCTAGCAGCTCATCAGTGGTTAGTTCGTCATTGTCCTCCTCCACCAACTCTTCCACATCCTCCCCACTAACCTCCAACCCCAAGCACTTTCCCAATGCCACAGTGGATTCCTCAACTGGCATAGGATTCCCAGGGTTAGCCTCAAACCCTTCAAAATCCCTTTTGTCTACACATTCTGGCCACAGTTTCTTCCAAGCAGAGTTCAAGGTCCTCTTAGTCACTCCCTCCCAAGCCTTACCTATAAGGTTTACACAATTGAGGATATTAAAGTGATCCTTCCAAAACTCCTTTAAAGTCAATAGAGTTTCTGAGGTCACTTCAAAGCACCTTTCAAACATAGCTTTTGTGTACAGCTTCTTGAAGTTGGAAATGACCTGCTGGTCCATGGGCTGCAGGAGAGGAGTGGTATTAGGAGGCAAGAACTTGACCTTAATGAAGCTCATGTCCCCACAAGTCTGTAGGATGACCAGGGGCATTGTCTAACACCAGGAGGCACTTAAGGTCTAATTTCTTTTCAATTAGGTAATTTTTCACATTTATTTATTTATTAATTTTATTTATTTAAAAATTTGAGCACACATACAGAGGTACAACAAATACAGGTAAGAGCAGTATGCCAAAGCCACTTATACTATGCATAGCATTACGGGCTGGCTTAAAATTAACTTAAGATTAACTAAGCAATGATGAAATCAGTGATAAAACATTAATGTAAACAGGTTACTATAAAGCACAAGTGAGTATTACAAAGACAGGTCATATGGTTGTATGCATTGTTGTACATTCAGTAGAATGGAGTATTCTGTTAGGTAGTGTATTTAAAAAATAATAAAGTTAGATTGGGTTTTAGGTTTAAACATTTGTGTGATATAATTGTGAGAAACATTTAAGATATACAATTATAAGGTTCTGTTATTCAGTATTTATTTGGTTTTGGGTGAGTAAGTGATCTTTGAGAAGAGACTTGAATTTATAAACAGGTAGTGTTTCTTTTATATTTACAGGTAATGAATTCCAGATTTTAGGGCCTTTTATGTGCATTGAGTTTTTACATAGTGTGAGATGGACACGAGGAACATCAAAGAGTGATCTGTGCCTTGTGTTATGGTCATGTGTTTCTGTTGAGGTTGCAAGGAGATGTTTGAGGGGAGGGTTAACATCAGAGTTAAGTGTTCTATGTATGTAATAGGTGCAGTAGTAAGTATGGATGTTTTGTATGGTGAGGAGGTTTAGTGTATTGAATATTGGTGGAGTGTGCTGCCTATAGTGAGAATTTGTTATCATTCTAAACTGCAGCCTTTTGTTGGGTAATTAGTGGTCTGAGATGGTTACTTGTTGTTGAGCCCCATGCACAAAATCCATAGGTGAGATAGGGGTAAATAAGAGAGTGATATAGGGCCAGGAGGGCTGACTGTGGAGCATAGTACCGTATCTTCGATAGTATGCCTACAGTCTTGGAAATTTTCTTAGAAATTTGTTGTATATGTGTATGAAATTTGAGTCTATTATCAAGGTGGATTCCTAAGAATTTTCCCTCTGTTAGCTTTGTGATAGGTGATCCGTTTATCATTATGTTAAGAGGGACATCTGTAGCTCTGTTACCAAACTGAATGAAGTAGGTTTTGTCAATGTTTAGTGTAAGTTTGTTAGTTCTCATCCAGGTAGATATTTTCTGTAATTCGGTATTTACAGTATTGGCTAGCGTGACTGGGCTCGGGTGGGAGAAGACGTATGTAGTGTCATCTGCAAATAGTGTGGGTTTGAGGGCAAATGCATGGTGTAACCAGTCATAGAAAAAGTCGTCCCTAGTGACCCATGCCTTACTGTTTGCCCTCCACAGCACACACAAATTAGCCTTGAGGATATTCTTTTGCCTGAACGCTCTAGAAGTTTCTGAGTGATACACCAATAAAGGCTTCACTTTGCAATCACCACTAGCATTGGCACACATGAGAAGAGTAAGCCTGTCTTTCATAGGCTTATGTCCTGGGAGTGCCTTTTCCTCCTGAGTAATGTAGGTCCTGCTTGGCTATTTCTTCCAAAACAGGCTTGCTTCATCACAATTAAACACTTGTTCAGGTTTCAATCCTTCAGCCTCTATGTACTCCTTGAATTCATGCACATATTTTTCAGCCGCTTTGTGGTCTGAACTGGCAGCCTCACCATGCCTAATCACACTATGTATGCCACTAAGATTCTTAAATCTTTCAAACCAGCCTTTGCTGGCCTTAAATTCACTCACATCACCACTAGTTGCAGGCATTTTTCTAATTAAATCCTCATGCAACTGCCTAGCCTTTTCACAAATGATCGCTTGAGAGATGCTATCTCCAGCTATCTGTTTTTCATTTATCCACACCAGTAACAGTCTCTCAACATTTTCTAACACTTGCGATCGCTGTTTTGTAGTCACAGTTGCACCTTTTGCAAGAACAGCTTCCTTGATTGCCGTTTTCCTGCTCACTATAGTAGAGATGGTTGATTGGGATTTACTATACAACTTGGCCAGGTCCGACACACGCACTCCGCTTTCATACTTTGCAATTATCTCTTTCTTCATTTCAATAGTCATTAGCACCCTTGGTCTCGAAGGGTTGGCACTAGAAGCTTTGTTGGGGCCCATGGTGACTTATTTTGCAGAAACAAGCACCAGAAACAGTGATAATATGGATAATATGGAATGTACCGAATGTATCCTTAGATGTGCGCACACTGGCTGGCTTGTAAACACTGGGACACACAGGGCAGTTCAGGCCACATGTGGACACGTCTCGTACGAATCGTATCGCGTACCAGGTTTTGTAACGGGAACCGGGGCAAATTTTTTGCAATACGTATAACGCTTCGGATACCGGATTTATCGGTTACCGGTGACTTCGTGAACTGGGGGACCACTGTACTGTGCCTTGTGGAACGGAGGTTTTCATTGTGGCTGATCAGACTTTGTTTACTATTACTCTCTCTGTTCTATTTGTTAGGAAGTTATAGATCCATCTACCAACTTTTCCTGTTATTCCTTTACCATGCATTTTGTCGAAGGCTTTCATAGGGTCTGTGTATACTACATCTGCATTTTGTTTGTCCTTCAGTGCATCTAAGACCTTGTCATAGTAGGCCAATAGTTGGGACAAGCAGGAGCTGCCGCCTGCTCTAAACCCATGGTGCCCTGGCTTGTGTAACTGATGGATATCTACATGGGTGACAATCTTGCTTCTTAGAACCTTTTTAAAGATTTTTATGATACAGGACATTAGTGCTATAGGTCTGTAATTCTTTGCAACTGCTTTGCTTCCATCTTCATGGAGGAGGGCTATGTTTTTTGTTTTTAGTGATTGTGGGATGACCCGTGTCCATGTTCCTTCAAGCTGAAGACACGTGAAAGGGGCTTCTTGCAGTTCTTGATGAACATGGAGTTCCACAAGTCTGGGCCTAGGGCTGAGTGCGTGGGCTTAAAGTAAATTTGTTGCAGAGATTTAATAGCTCGTGTGTGTGTGAACTTTCATCTGAGCTGCCCCCTGGGGTTATCTCTGCTAAAACATTATTTGCTACACTTTTCCACTTTAGGTGTTTTAAGCTGAAATTGCCAGGCAGCAAGATGTCCAGGGCAAGAGTTGGGAGATTTTCCATACAGTGGTCAATTTTGAAAAGCTGCTCCTGGAATTGCTGGGAAGTAGTGTCCAGAGGCTTGTATACAACCACAATGAAAAGGTTTTGGTTTTCAATCTGAAAATGTCATTTTAGTTAAAACCGTGTTAGACAAACTGAAGAGCTTATGGGAAAAATAGGGTTATGTTCCTAAGAGTCCCCAAAAAGCCCAACAACTTTTTTTAAGACCAACAGATCTTACAAAAATATAAGTGAATATGCAATTGTAGTTCATTGTCGTGATATATTACTGCTTAAGACTACAAAAGCAATAGAAATAATAGTATTTCTTACCTTAAATTGTGGGTAATGGTGTTTGTGGATGATTGTGAAGAGTGGACATGCATGGTGTCGCCCTACTGGTCTGAGGAGGATGGTTGTTGGTTGTCGGCAGAAGTGGATGGTAGAGGTTCTGGTACTAAAGTCAATGGTTGTATTGGAGTGTGCATAAATTCTGTAATGGATCTCTGGGCTCTTTTACCCAGCAGTACATTAATACAGCTGACAAAAAGGTGCTAACCGACATATAATCATTAGTGAACTTGCCAGAATGGATGATGGAAGATGGCTTCTCCACTGGATTAAGGGGGATATGGTGTTGGTCCAGATGTGGTCTAGTAGGGAAACACTAGTCTCTGTAACTCTTGTAGGTTTTGTTACTGTTGGTAGCAACATGCAGTTACTCATAGTGTTTGTGAATTCAGTAACATGTGGGTCTTGGTCTTGTAGGAGATTTATATTGAAGTCACCTGAGAGTAGTAAGTGATCTTTGTTCATGCATGCATCAGTTATCATACTTCCTAGGTTTTCACTAAAACGACTAATGTTTGACTGTGGTACTCTGTAGATGTTTATCACTCTGAGAGGTTTTTGTAGGTATTTGCATTTGAATTTAGCTATTATATATTCCCCATGTTCATCCCTTGTGCAAGTATTAGTGATACATTCTAGTTGGTCTGAGTAGTATATAGCTGTGCCACCCCCTTGTTGATCTGGCCTACAGTTGTGTATGGTTGTGTAACCAGGAATGGCATAGACATCTGTAGTATCAGGCTTTAGCCAGGTTTTGGTGAGAGTAATGATGGACATACTGGCATGCAGGGAATTTAGTAATGCTATGAGGTCATCGTAATGTTTGCTTAAAGATCTGATATTGTAGTTAAAGACAGTTATGTTGTTGTGTGAGAAGGGCATTTTGCGTCACGTACTATCGTATATTGGAGAGGATCCTAACTGTTTTGGATACTTTTTTTGATATGTGTTGGATATGGGTGCTGAAATTCAGGTTGTTGTCGAGGTATAGGCCTAGGAATTTGCCCTCATTATGTCTGGCAATTAGAGTGCTGTCAATCTTAATGTTTAGTTGTGCAGCACCTGCTGTGCTACCAAACATATTATAGTAGGTTTTGTCTGTGTTAAGCGTAAGTTTATTGGCTGTCATCCAAGTTGATATTTTGAGCAGCTCCTCATTAACAATGGTGTTGAGGGTGGCAAGATTAGGGCGAGAGATGACATAAGTCGTGTCATCAGCAAAGAGAATGGGCTTCAGGTGTTGGGATACGTTTGGAAGATCATTGATGTAAATGAGGAAGAGCAGGGGTCCAAGGACACTTCCCTGTGGAACTCCAGTATCAAGTGGCCGTGTTGATGATGCTGTGTCTTTAATGGTGACATACTGATATCTATTAGTAAGGTAGGATTTGAAATATGCAAGTGCATGGCCTCTTATACCATAATGGTCAAGTTTGTGGAGTAGGATGCCGTGGTCTACTGTGTCAAAAGCTTTTCTTAGGTCAATAAAAATTCCTAGTGGATACGACTCAGTGTCCAGCGAACCGCTGCCCAGACTAAGGGTCAACAATCCAAATGAATTCTTCATGAGCGAGACCCAAAATCTGGTTATTTAAAAAATCTCGGATATTATCCTAACACAGCAAGACTTTGAAAAGGCAATAAATGACATGCCCATGCATTCTGCCCCACGCCCAGACTCGTGGAACTCCGTGTTCATCAAGAACTGCAAGAAGCCCCATCATGTGCCTTCAGCATTCTGTGGAGAGGAGCATGGACAAGAAGTCATCCCACACTCACTAAAAACAACAGACATAGCCCCACTCTACAAAGGTGGAAGTAAAGCAATTGCAAAGAACTACAGACTGATAGCACTAACATCCCATATCATACAAATCTTTGAAAGAGTTCTAAGAGGCAAGATCACCAACCACCTAGATACATGGGTTTAAAGCAGGTCGCTCCTGCCTGTCCCAGCTACTGGATCACTATGACAAGGTCCTGGATGCTGTAGAAAATAAACAAAATACAAATGTAATACATATACAGACTTTGCAAAAGCTTTCAACAAGCATGACCATGGTGTAATAGCGCACAAAATGCGTGACAGGAAAAACAGGAAAAGTTGGTAGATGGATCTATAACTTCCTGACAAACAGAACACAAAGAGTAATAGTAAATAGAGTAAAGTCTGAGACAGCTACGGTGAAAAGCTGTTCCACAAGGCACAGTACTTGCTCCCATTCTATTTGTCATCCTCATATCTGACACAGAGATGTAAGCCATAGCTCTGTGTCATCCATTGCAGATGACACCCAGATTGCCATTACACTGACTTCCATCGAAGTCACTACAATACTCCAAACAGACATAAACTAAATCTTCAAGTGGGCCATTCAAAACTATATGAAGTTCAATGAAGAGAAATTTCAACTACTCAGATGTATTACACTTAACCACTGTATTTCTTTGTACATCTATGTATCATGTCAAAATTAATAATAAATAAATAAATAAATAAGTTTGGGGAAATTAAAACTGTATCAGGGTATATGACAAATTCTAACCATACAATAGAGCAAAAAAGTAATGTGAAGGACCTGGGAGTGATAATGTCAGAGGATCTTGCCTTCAAAGATGGATAATGAGAACCTCAAAACTAGGGATGCAAAGCCTATGATGAGTCTTTTCAAATCACTTGTTCTCTTTAGGTTGGAATACTGTTCTAAACTAACTGCCCCCTTCAAGGCAGAACAAATTGTTGACCTGGAGAGTGTACAAAGAACTTTCATGGCACACATAAGTGCAATAAGGCACCTAAATTACTGGGATCGGTTGAAGGCCCTTGATCTGTATTCCCTGGAGGGCAGGCGAGAGAGATACATGATAATATACACTTGGAAAATCCTAGAGGAATTAGTACCAAACTTGCACACGAAAATCACTCCTTATGAAAACAAAAGACTCGGCAGGAGATGCAACACAATAAGTGTCCGGGACCCTAGATTGTTCAACTGCCTCCCAGCATACAGAAGGGGGGATTACCAAGAGACCCCTGTCTGTCTTCAAGAAGGCACTGGACAGGCACCTAAAGTCAGTACTTGACCAATCGGGCTGTGGTTTGTACATCAGTTTGCGTTCGGCCAGCAGTAACAGCCTGGTTGATCAGACCCTGATCCACCACAAGGCCTGGTCTCAAACCAAGTCGCATGGGTTTTGACCCTCGAAACCCTCTCCAGGTAAACTCCTGCTATGTACGTAAAGTATAGTACCAATGTACCACATGGTACCATTGTAAAGTAAGTAAAGTTTATTTCTTTGTAAAAGTTACAATGTGTAATTACAATTTTGATTTGCTAAGTACAAAGATAGCCACTATCATGCTGAGGCATTTTTGAAACTTAGTACAAAATCTACCTTACAAGTAATGGTGCAGGTGGTAATATTTTATGAAATGGCAAAATTAAAAGCCAGGTGGTCACATGATAAGACTAACTAGCAGATATTTTGGCAGATTTGGTTAATATTGAGAAATAAGACGATTGTATGGAATGGCAGAATTAAGAGCCTAGAGTTTACCTGGAGTTTACCCTGGAGAGAGTTCTGGGGGTCAACGTCCCCGTGGCCCGGTCTGTGACCAGGCCTCCTGGTGGATCAGAGCCTGATCAACCAGGCTGTTACTGCCGGCTGCACGTAAACCAACGTACGAGCCACAGCCCGGCTGGTCAGGAACCGACTTTAGGTGCTTGTCCAGTGCCAGCTTGAAGACTGCCAGGGATCTGTTGGTAATCCCCCTTATGTATGCTGGGAGGCAGTTGAACAGTCTCGGGCCCCTGATACTTATTGTATGGTCTCTTAACGTGTTAGTGACACCCCTGCTTTTCATTGGGGGGATGTTGCATCGTCTGCCAAGTCTTTTGCTTTCGTAGTGAGTGATTTTTGTGTGCAAGTTCGGTACTAGTCCCTCTTAGGATTTTCCAGGTGTATATAATCATGTATCTCTCCCGCCTGCGTTCCAGGGAATACAGGTTTAGGAACCTCAAGCGCTCCCAGTAATTGAGGTGTTTTATCTCCGTTATGCGCGCCATGAAGGTTCTCTGTACATTTTCTAGGTCAGCAATTTCACCTGCCTTGAAAGGTGCTGTTAGCGTGCAGCAATATTCCAGCCTAGATAGAACAAGTGACCTGAAGAGTGTCATCATGGGCTTGGCCTCCCTAGTTTTGAAGGTTCTCATTATCCATCCTGTCATTTTTCTAGCAGATGCGATTGATACAATGTTATGGTCCTTGAAGGTGAGATCCTCCGACATGATCACTCCCAGGTCTTTGACGTTGGTGGTCACATAATAAAAGAGGTCACATAATAAAACTAGTTAGCAGACGTTTGGTCGATTGGGTTAATATTGTGAGATAAGACGATTTTTTAGCAAAGTCCTAAATTTATAAGCTGTCAGGGAATCTTTGACCTGTTCCGGTAGCGAGTTCCAGATCTTCGAGCCTTTTATGTGCATAGCGTTCTTGCATAGTGAGAGTCTGACTCTAGGGATGTTGAAAAGTGCCTTATGCCTTGTATTGTGCCTGTGCATTCTGTTGTAACTGTCAAGAAGTAGTTTTAGGGGAGGGTTTACAGTGGAGTTTAATGTTCTGTATATGTAGTACAAAATGGTACCATTGTACCATATGGTATCATTGTACCACATGGTACAATGTACCATATGGTTCAAAACCACAAAATTCCTCTTCAGATCCACTTCCATCAGTGTTAGAACTATAACTTGGGAAGACGAGAGTCAGACTTCACAGGGGAGTGAGAGCTTCCTTGTCGCCAGGCATGATGAACAAAGCGTACTGAGATGGCATTCCCACAATGCAATGCAGGTGCCCCGATTTTTTGTTTACTGAGCACACTGACCACTCAGACCCATTCTCTTAGATGTACGCCTACCAGCCTTCTCGCTCTAAATTTGAAGCCTCTAGAATTTTGGCATAGATCTACAGCTTGGACCTTGGCTTCAAAGCTGTAGATCTACGGGACGGACCCTGAAAGGGTTAAAGACAGCCCCACATCACTAAGGAGAGAAATACTGTAGTTATGTTTAATGTATTCAATTAACATCCACACTCACTTGTCTTTATATGGTATATAGTACATATCTCTAATTTTCTAGTCAAAATAATAGCTTCCTCCAAAAAGTCATAGTTTACAACTATGTACTACTCAGGTGTTAGTTTACATTTTATAATACATACAACGTATGTGAATAAATGGTTTACATAACCAATAAGTTGATAAATGAGACACTTGTGCAACATTTGGGTATCTATATTCTGTAAATATTTTGCCAGCCAGTGACTTCTTCAGTGCAATGCAGAATAGGGTGCAAGATGAGGAGGAGTTTGAGGTAGTCAGTCCCTCAGCCTGATATCAATGTGTTCAGTCCATCAATCTTAATAAAAGTGCGGTATATTTATGGAGATAGGGCATATACATATACTGATGACAGATGAAGTGCAGCAGTGGTAGGCAGAGTCACCAGTGAACAAAACCACTAGTGGAGGTAGGTCATGTCTAGAGGTAGGCAAGTTTTGAAAAAATCCCAGCATCAAGATCTCAGGGAGATTTATTTCTTCAAAACTTGTCTATCCTACTGACATGACCTACTTCGCCAGTGGTTTTGTCCACTGGTGACTCTGCCTACCACTACTCCACCTTATCTGTAATCAGTATATAAGCCTCATCTCTGCAAATATGCTGCACTTTCATCAAGACTGATAGACTGAATATATCAACTCCAGGCTGAGGGACTGATTGCTTCTAACTCCTCATCTTCCACCTTTCTCCACACTGGACTGCAGAAGCCACTGGCTGGCAAAATATTTCCAGAATAAAGACACAAATGTTGCCCAAGTGTCTCATTTATCATACAACTTATGTACATCACAAAATAAATAATTATTTCTTATGCAGATTATTGTTTTAGGCTACATAAAAATCTTCTAGTTTTATAAACTTTTATTTCTACAAGTACATGTACAAAGTGTACAGGCCTAGCTCCATCAATGACATACTACTATATATAAAGCCGCTAGTTACGCAGAGCATTTCAGGCAAATTAGGGCAATTTTGTCCCCAGGATGCAACCCACACCAGTTGATTAACACCCAAGTACCTATTATACCAACAGATGAACATGGATAGCAGGTATCTTAAGGAAATACATCCTAATGTTTCCACCCTTGCTGGGGATCGTAACCACAGGCACTCACTGTGTGAAGCGAGAGCACTGCCTACCAGGTCACAGGACACCTTAATGGTGCATTTTGGTTTTGTGCAGCCCATCTGATCCAATTCATATTCATAGTTTATTTGGACATGATACATAGTTGTACAATGGATTATAGTAGTTGGGTGTACATGCCAAAAGCCCCTTGTATGCAAAGCATTATGGGCAGGCTTAAAATTAACTTAAAATTAACAAGTAATGAGAGGTTCATGTTAAAAATTACAGTAAGCAATTTACAATACGAAGTACAACTGAGTATTTGAAACAATGAAATTTGAACATATTGATACTGAGGTATTATAGTTGTACAAATCTGTCACATTATATTATTTAAAATTTGTTTCCATACAGAGTATTATAGAAAACAAGTTGAAAGCCATACTGCAATGTAAAAACAATTTACAATGTAGTAACATAAAAATAACATTTGCTTGTTTGTGTTGAAGTTTAATAACAAGTTATATCCATGCACTTCTAATGTAAAAAGACACAATCTTACATATGGTGTAGTAAGTTAAAACATTAGTTTTAGTTGGGTTAAGGTTAGAAGGTTAAGTGGAATATTTAATAGAATTAAATCTTAAGAAAATAGCTCACTAAAAACAAAATATTGTACCATTCAAAAATAATAATGATAAATCTACCAAGGATTAAAATAATATAAATCAATATAGCAATAACAGGGGGTACCTAAGCAGCTGTAATATTTACCCTTCAATAAATGTTCCTATGTATAATATTACTTTTATTATGTTAAGGAGGTAATACTAAATCAATTGGCGATAAGATCTGGTAATGAGTAATCAGTTTGATCCAAGAAGTGAAGTATTTTTTTTGCCAGCCTCATATATCCAGTAACCTCCTTTTAGGTAAAAACTCGTTTAGAATGATGTCTGTGATCTTTATATATGGCTCAGGATATGATGGCTCCCGTGACCCGGTCTCAGTCCAGGCTTAATGACTCATTATTTCTTTGTGCAGATCTCCTTATGACTTTTTTTTTTGTATTTCTGGGTCTGTCTGCAGTAACTAGTAATCTAAATAAACTAAAAAAAAAAAAAAGTTGAAATTCATCAAAATATACAAAGCTTAATTCACCCAGAGTATTTTACCTTAAATTTAGGATCAGGAACCGAAATTAATAAAGGTCAAACAGTAAACAAATTAAGTGTCCACTGTATGTAGTGTAGCGTCGTATATATTATTTACAAGTATTTTATATCAAATGTGATATATCACGGCCCGGTGGCCTGGTGGCTAAAGCTCCCGCTTCACACACGGAGGGCCCGGGTTCGATTCCCGGCGGGTGGAAATTCCGACACGTTTCCTTACACCTATTGTCCTGTTCACCTAGCAGCAAATAGGTACCTGGGTGTTAGTCGACTGGTGGGGGTCGCATCCTGGGGGACAAGATTAAGGACCCCAATGGAAATAAGTTAGACAGTCCTCGATGACGCACTGACTTTCTTGGGTTATCCTGGGTGGCTAACCCTCCGGGGTTAAAAATCCGAACGAAATCTTGTCTTATCTTATCTTATCACGTTAAAGTCACCAATAACGTAAGTCAAAGACTGAAGATAAAATATATAATTAATAAAGCTACAAAAGTGAACTTTCATCTTTCAAATTTAATACAGCTGCACTAGTGAATCCGTCTAATAAGATACCATTAACACCACCTCAAATTTTGAGCATACAATTATTGTTATATTTGTAAGGAAGCGCTAAACACATAATGGTCATGCAGCGCCTGGGAAATGACGGATAATATCGGGTTTGATCCAAGGAAGGCTGAAGAGTTTTACACCAGCAACAAGACATCCCTCCCCACCTCCCATTTAATTAAGAATAACTCACAAACACCTTCACCACTAACAATCAAGCAACATAATAATATATTACAAGTTACACCTGAATCATTACTGAATGGTTCATGTTAGAGTCAATACCTGTAACCAAAGCTACTCTCCCGGAGAATAATGACGACATTGCTTGTATATCTTCACGACTGAGGACACTGTTGCTGGGGTCTTCCTCTGACACAGTGCTTCACCACTTGTGCTCACTCTTACACTGCTCTTTTACAACTACAACAACATACACACACTCCAACATGGCCTCTCTCCACATTACCTAAGATAAGATATTGGTCGGATAAAAAAAATGGTTATAATCATGACTATAGTTTTTCAAGAGGTGGCCTGGTGGCTAAAGCTCCCGCTTCACACACGGAGGGTCTGGGTTCGATTCCCGGCGGGTGGGAACATTTCGACACGTTTCCTTACACTTGGTGTCTTGTGTACGAATGGTATATAATACCGACAAGATGAGAGTAAGACACATGTGCAACATCTGGGTATCTTTATTGTAGACGTTTCGCCATCCAGTGGCTTTATCAATACAAATTCTAGGACATAACTTGAAGACAGTAGAACTATGTACAGAAGATGAGGTAATCAGTCCCTCAACCTAGGAGTAGGTGCGAACAGCACCATAGTCGTGGAGATTCTGAAGCAGAAGAAAGAATCCTGGCGCTTATATAGTAACGTCAGGTGAAGCAGACGAGGGCAAATTCACTGGTAGGCGGGATTCCCCAGTGGAAGTAGGTCCCTCCCAAAGAGATGGGTTAGTAGTAGTAGTAGTTGTCGTGAAGGTTATGTACATGTCCTCAGAATTAAGATTCCATGATGTTGCAGTGAATTTGCCCTCGTCTGCTTCACCTGACGTTACTATATAAGCGCCAGGATTCTTCTTCTGCTTCAGAAGTTCCACTCAACATCTCATGTAACTAAAAAGATCAACACAGCCAAAGCCGGTCTTAGCAGACTCTTTCGATTCAATCAAGCCCCTCAACATGTCAAAAAACATCTGTATAAAATGATAATAAGACCTATACTTGAATACCCTTGTGTCCCAATATCATTAACAACAAAGACCAACATGCTACGGTTACAAAGGGTCCAGAATAGAGCTCTTCGATTTATTACCAATACCAGGAGGAGAGACAGAGTTAAAATGGCAGATTTACACACACAACAAGATATCACTGCCATAAATGTACGCCTTGACACCCTAAAAAAGAAACAACTTTATACAATGCAAGAACTATACATGCCAGATAGAGAACATCCTATACAAGTGATAAATACCACCGATTACACCATCAATACTCCACCTCACAGGACTCAAAGAATGACTCTCCCACAGAGGGTTCGTCGTTTTATTCATAAAGATGATTACCCTCGACCCATGATTTTGAGCAACTTACCTGATGAAGAAGATTGGATACTACCAGAACCCTTCTATGTATACTGAATAAATCATCGCCCCCAATTAGGGAGACATCTTAAATAACTTTCTAATGTAAAATTATGCTATGACTATGGTTGGACACCACCATTAAGAAGCTATTGTCACAAGCTCATAAACTGGGCCAGAAAAATATTGCCTTTCCTGTCGTATAAATATCCGTTGTGCAATCGCGAAAAAAAAAAAAAAAAAAAAAAAAAAAAAAAAAAAAAAAAAAAAAAAAAGCAATTGCAACTTGTATAATTACAACCAACTCAGAGTCATGTACTTATATACCTATTATATTTATGTGACTCTGATGGGTTAGTATTATACCTCTTAAAAAATAATCTTATCAATTCAAATACACTTTTTAAATTACACCAAAGTGGTTGGGCCACTTACCTTTTATATCCTACCTCACCCCCCCCTCCAATCCTCTTCCAATATTTCCACCCTTACCCATCCTTCTTCCTTCCCTATCTTACCAAAGCTCTGGTCATTAGAAGCGAAGAAGTGCTTCAGAATCTCCACGACTATGGTGCTGTTCGCACCTATTCCTAGGTTGAGGGACTGATTACCTCATCTTCTGTACATAGTTCTACTGTCTTCAAGTTATGTCCTAGAATTTGTATTGATAAAGCCACTGGATGGCGAAACGTCTACAATAAAGATACCCAGATGTTGCACATGTGTCTTACTCTCATCTTGTCGGTATTATATACCATTCGTACACAACTTGTCAGACACTGCAACATCATGGAATCTTAATTCTGAGGACATGTACATAACCTTCACGACAACTACTACTACTACTAACCCATCTCTTTGGGAAGGACCTACTTCCACTGGGGAATCCCGCCTACCAGTGAATTTGCCCTCGTCTGCTTCACCTGACGTTACTATATAAGCGCCAGGATTCTTTCTTCTGCTTCAGAATCTCCACGACTATGGTGCTGTTCGCACCTACTCCTAGGTTGAGGGACTGATTACCTCATCTTCTGTACATAGTTCTACTGTCTTCAAGTTATGTCCTAGAATTTGTATTGATAAAGCCACTGGATGGCGAAACGTCTACAATAAAGATACCCAGATGTTGCACATGTGTCTTACTCTCAACTTGGTGTCTTGTTCACCTAGCAGCAAATAGGTACCTGGGTGTTAGTCGACTGGTGTGGGTCGCATCCTGAGGGGCAAAATTGAGGACCCCAATGGAAATAAGCTAGGCAGTCCTCGATGACTTTCTTGGGTTATCTTGGGTGGATAACCCTCCGGGGTTAAAAATCCGAATGAAATCTTATCTTAAGCTGGTGGAATGCCTCTGTCAGATGACCAAAAGCTCCAGAGGCTGTTCGTAAGTTTATTCAGGTGTCCCGTAGCTGGATCGCTAGCGCACTCGACTCACACACTGGGGTCCGGAGATCTTACCTCCAGTACGGCTGGAAAACATTAGTACGTGTTTCCTTAATTAAGACACCTGTTGCCCCTGTTCACCCATCAGTATAATGTGTACCTGGGTGTTAGTCAACTGGTGTGGGTCGCATCCTGGGACAAAACTGACCTAATTTGCCCGAAATTCTCAGCATAACAAGCGACTTTCTTTGTAGTAGTATGTCATTGCTGTCAGCTAGGACTGTATACCTTGTACATGTCAAACCATACCCCCGGCCGGGATTGAACCCGCGGTCATAGAGTCTCAAAACTCCAGCCCGTCGCGGGTTCAATCCCGGCCGGGGGGATGGTTTGTTTGCAATCGTGTCATTACGATTTCTTGAGTCTTGTACATGTACTTGTAGAAATAAACATATTATATTATTAGATATACACAAATACAGTTACATAGATTATCATTGTGGAAAATTGCATTTATCTGTATGCATAATTATGTACATAACAGTAAATGAACATAGATAATTATTATTTATCAATGTTATAGAGACAAGTAGGAATTTGGGACACGCAAAAATGTCCCCCTTCGATACCTACCACTGTCATATCCACAAGTTGCTCTGGACCTATTAATTAAATGAATTATACATCAGGAATTCTGGTAAATATATAAATTTGTGGACTGCATATTAAAAAATGATTATATATAAATTCACATATACATAACAGAAGGAAAATATATTTTAATATCACTCACCAATTTGACTGGATATTAAGCTGTACCATGCTCAGTAAAACCATCATGCTTCGTAAAACCATCTAAACTTGACCTCAAACTCAGTGTTAGCAGGGAAATCAAGCCTAACCGTTCTGCGATGGCTGTTGTTGCTATCGTTGTTTCTTGCAGCAAGCCTCCTTTGAAATCCTCTTTCTTTTTTCAAAGCTCCCTTACTTCTAAAACGTACGAATTCGCCTTCACCATCATTTACTTCGTTCACATCCATAGGTCACTTTTAGTTCATGTGTGTGTGATGAATGGTTTGAAAAACCGACAAGTTGAAGATTGAGACACTTATGCAGCATATGGAAATCTTTATTCAGGAAACGTTTCGCCACACAGTGGCTTCATCAGTCCAATACAAAGAGGAAGGCGTAAGGAGAGGAGGAGAATGAGGTAATCAGTCCCTCAACCTGGAGTCGATGTGTTCAGTCCATCAATCTTGTAGAATGTACAGCATAGGGCCGTAGACGTGGCTTATATACTGTAGTGAGGTGACGTGAAGCAGATGGAGGCGGGGTCATAGTGGTACCATCCACTAGTCGAAGTAGGTCTTCGTCCAAAGGTTGAACAATTGTTGAAGAATTCTTTGTAACAAGATCCCATGATGCTGCAGTGTCCGACAGTTGTGATGAATGGTTTGAAAAACCGACAAGTTGAAGATTGAGACACTTATGCAGCATATGGAAATCTTTATTCAGGAAACGTTTCGCCACACAGTGGCTTCATCAGTCCAATACAAAGAGGAAGGCGTAAGGAGAGGAGGAGAATGAGGTAATCAGTCCCTCAACAATTGTTCAACCTTTGGAAGAAGACCTACTTCGACTAGTGGATGGTACCACTATGACCCCGCCTCCATCTGCTTCACGTCACCTCACTACAGTATATAAGCCACGTCTACGGCCCTATGCTGTACATTCTACAAGATTGATGGACTGAACACATCGACTCCAGGTTGAGGGACTGATTACCTCATTCTCCTCCTCTCCTTACGCCTTCCTCTTTGTATTTGACTGATGAAGCCACTGTGTGGCGAAACGTTTCCTGAATAAAGATTTCCATATGCTGCATAAGTGTCTCAATCTTCACTTTTAGTTCAGCTGCTTGAGGTGGAAGAGTTAGTCTGTTACTTTTGGGTCAGCGAAACCACCTTTATTCCATAAGAGAGAAGGGACAAGGAAGGGATATTCACCTCGCTAGACACAGGCAATATGGGTGTAGTGGCCTGCGGGTCGCAGTGCGATTTTCAAGGTCATTCACTGGGCCCACAGTCGTCTCGAGAGTTACCAACACTGTACTACTTGTTAATTACTCCAAACCAGCAGCACTTAACACATCTAGCACACATGTCTTGGAATGACAGACAAATTTTCACTACATAAGAACTAGTTCTCACAACACCGTAGGTACGGCCGGAACACTGTAGAACGTTCACAAAGGCATTCTGGGATTCAGAACAGATGTAGCTGCAGTGTAACTTGGCCTTCACTGGCTGGCTTGGAGTGCTGTTTAGCCTGGATCAGCTAAACTCGCCTTTATCCCATATGTAGATAATGGCGACGAGTTAAGAGATACCGGTGAATAGGAAAGTCGAGGAAGGGACATTCACCTCACTAGACACACGCAGTATGGGTGTAAGTGGCATGCGGGTCTTATAGTGCCATTTTCAAGGTCACCCAGCAGGCCAGACATTCCTCACTCATTTTAAGCCTACGTAGGTACTGATGGTAGCACAATGTCCTAAGTCAGTGAAATCCACTCATGCAAATAGTTACAATAAATCTGCAGCACTTAACACTTCTAGCACAAACTTACTATGTTTATAGGTGAACCTCTGGCATGTCCCACTTAAAAAGTCAGTACTGCAATGCTCGTTAAATTGTTCTTAACTAAGCCACTACAGGAAACACTGGTATGCCAGCAGCACTGTAGAACGTATACGTAGACATGCTGGGCCTTAGGACAGCTGTAACTGCAGGCTACCTTAGCTTGTTCTGGCTAGCTTGGAATGCTGCTTTCAAGCCTGCTTAAATGTGCTTGCTAAGCCCGTGTCAACCACTTGGATATTTGCTTGTAGCAGGCAGGTAGGCACACAGGAGACACATTCGTAAGATGAGTGGAGTGCGGCACAGAGGACTGAAGCGGGCACTCAAGCACTTATGTGGTCTGGCAAAAACCGCCTCTACGCCATAAGTAAATAGAGGCGAATGGCTGAGTTCCAAATCGAGGAAGGATGGGAGGCAGGCGAGGCAGAGTGAATTCAGGGGTCGTTTGCTCAAAAATATTCGACGTCTTTATTTATGAACCGATTACATTAATTTTTGGTGTACTATTAGAAGCTTATATCGAGTATCCTGTGCTGAAGTTTCAAAAATATCGGCCAAAAAGGAAATGAAATATGCAAAATTTACGAAAAATTACATTTGGCAGGGGACCTGGAGTCAGTGGTACTTGGAAAAGTGGTTTTGACACTTGCTGCTGATAGAACACTTCTAATTCCATCATTTTTCAGGTACCAGTTATATAATAAATCTTATCTTCATGCTAAAAAAAATAAAGTTTCATAACTTTTTGACATTTTTGGAAGATGTCGGTCTTGTTGCCCACACAAATCTGAAAATATTTGGGAAACTTCAGAAAGGTACCAATAAACTTGTAAAGCAATCATTCTTCTATGTTTGCTGTGAAAATCAAGTCAATTCATTCATAAATAAGGATGGAATCACCCTAAATAGGTAAATAAGTTACTTTCGAGATATAGGCCGAAGCGCGCGGCAACCCCAGGTGCCCGGGAAATATTTTTTTTCCCGAAAAAATTCGCCTTATTTTACACTTTTTCCGCGACCTACGAGTGTTTATTCAGTTAACCATTGTAAATCCGTTTTCTCTCATCACTGATGAGAGAGGTCGGACCCTTTCTTCACCTTCAGGGGAAATATCGATAGAAATTTTTTCCTCGGGGCATCATATTATGCTATATATTATTTTTTAAGGTGTACTTTTTATGTTTATATGCTATTATTATATTGCATTATGTCATAATAGATAAATTGTGATAGATAAATAAGCCTTATAATTGATATTAGCGTGGGTATGGAATATTTTGTTGGCTGGAGGTGTCGGCCATTTTATGCAATATACCCAGGGTACCTGATTGGTTCATTGATCATATTATCTCCGCCCACTCTGGCATGATCTCAGATGGTGAATTTGTATTATATTAGACAAAGATATAAGAAAAGGATAAAAATAACACGGGGAAAAAACGTAAACAATGCCGCGTCAGCGCTTGTTACGCATTATGACGCATCAGCGCTGTCACCATGCCTGTTATAAATGGTTGTAATTCCTTTTAGAAACATCGTACAAGGATAAATAACAAAAAGGCACAATACCGTGACTGGAACGATACACAAATAACCCGCACATAAAAGAGAGAAGCTTACGACGACGTTTCGGTCCGACTTGGACCATTGACAAATCACAGTGTGACTTTGTCAATGGTCCAAGTCGGACCGAAACGTCGTCGTAAGCTTCTCTCTTTTATGTGCGGGTTATTTGTGTATCGTACAAGGATAATAATTATACCAGAGTGTTGCCAGAAAGTTCAGCTATTTTTTGGTAACAATAACTCAATTTTCATATTTTTTCGAGTTTTTTTTCTCTCCGCCCTCCGACCTATGTACGACCCCTTCTGAAGGTAGGCTTCCTACAGCCACTTCAAATCAACATGTTTGTGTTTCACTAGGTATATCACGAGTCACAGTTCACAAATAAGAGTTCGCTAGACACAGGCAATATGGGTGTAGTGGCCTGTGGGTCGCAGTGCCATTTTCAAGGTCATTCACTGGGCCCAGAGTCGTCTCGAGAGTTACCAACACTGTACTACTCGTTAATTACTACAAACCCGCAGCACTTGAATACATCTAGCGTACGTGTCTTGGAATGACAGACAAAAATATGTTACCACCACTATACACACCATTATCAGCATCACTATAATTATGTATTACGAGGACGTGACCACGAGGCTGGTGTATTATTTCTATTATTACTTTTGTTTTGTTGTTATTATTATTATTATTATTATTATTATTATTATTATTATTATTATTATATTATTATTATTAATTATTATTATTATTATTATTATTATTATTATTATATTATTATTATTATTATTATTATCATCACTATCGCTTTAAATATCTATTATTATCACTATGCCCAAATTATTAGCATCACTATAAATATCTATTACCATCACTATACACAACATTATCACCATCACTATAAATATCTATTACCATCACTATACACAACATTATCACCATCACTATAAATATCTATTACCGCCACTATACACAACATTATCACTATCACTATAATTATGTATTACCATCACTATACACAAGGCCAGAGCAAAATTCGAAGCTCACTATATTTTTCATATGTTATATTTGTATCAAAATCATGGAATAATATCCCATACATTATCATTCGGTGATATTCTCAAGTTTTCGCATCTTAAGAATACATCAAATACTTGAGTTAAATCTTTGACTCGTAGTTCCAACTATGGCACTGCTTAGAACTTTCACCATTGTTGTTGGTGTGGTGGTGTTCATCTATGTTTTTGTTTGTTTCTGTGGCGTTGTTGATGAATGGGTCCGGGAGCTGGAAGAAGACCGGACACGACTCCTAAATGAGATCGAGGAAGCTGCCTTGGCTTGTGAATCTCTTCCCTGGAAACTTTGTGGAATCCCTTGGATGGGGATCATTATAAACTGTAATACTTATACCTTCCCACAGACCCCAGCAAGCCAGGTAACCCCTGGATGGGCATCACAAACCTGGCCTGTTCTGGGCATCTTCCTGAGAACGTACCAAGCCAACCATGATGTTAAACAACTGGAAATCCTCCTCAAGGATATGAACGACTCCTGCAAGGGAACTTCTTCACTCTTCCAGTTTTTGCCAGTCCTTCTGGTGGTTATTTTGATGGTGTTAGGAGCTGCTTCTTGCACTCTTGCTGCAATACTCAGAGTTCAGAAGTCACCAACACTTTCCAGTATTGGTAACCCAGAGATGAGTGGTGACTCCGTGTGTACTCGTGAACAAGTATTCACTGCTACCTTTGAGACTGTTGGTCCTTCACAGCCCCTTCCCCACACCATGACCCTCCCCAACACTCTGATACTCCCCGACACCATGTCCCTAACCAACACTTTGTCCCTCTCTGTGCAGGAAAACGAGTGTGGGAAAGATCTCCAGGACAGGAGGGAAAGTCGTGAAGATGGGACAGAAAATCGCGAAGATGAGAAAAGTTTAAAAGAAGACGACAATCCGAGCCAAGAAGATAAGATGGTGACAAGAGATGAAGTTCCAGAAAACGAATCTAGGAAGTTAGAGCCGGACTGGTTGAGGAACCGGCGCCTGGGACGCAAGACAAGTGAAGGTAGGAGCACGCCTGAACATAAGATGGTGACTAGAGATGAGGTCCCAAAAGACGAATCTACAAAGTTTGAGCCGGACTGGTTGAGGAACCTGCGCCTGGGACGCAAGACAATTGAAGGTAGGAGCGAGCCTGAACAGTGTTTTACTTCCCTCAGTGAGCAGGAAGAGCCAGACAGGGTAATCACTTCATATAATTCCGACTTCTGCGATGACCATATCCCCAACTACGAAAATTACTGTGACAACCACGTTCCCGAGGATGATCTAGGTGACAACCACGTTCCTGAGGACGATGTAGGTGACAACCACGTTCCTGAGGACGATGTAGGTGACAACCACGTTCCCAATAATGATCTAGGTGACAAACACGCACCTGAGGACGATGTAGGTGACAATCACGTTCCAGATAATGATCTACGTGACAACCACGTCACCGACAACGATGACCAAGGTGATTGGCAGCTCGTTTGCAAGAAGAAGAAAAAGAAGAAGAACTTCCATGGGAGGCGCCATGTCACTAACAACAATGCATCTCATGATAATAACTTCCTCCACGTTGACGAAGTCGAATTATACGACGATGATTCATTTAGACGACACAGCAGATCTAGAAAAGGAAGTCGTCGTTATGACGAGGAGTGAAGAATCTATGACAAGGACGTGACCACCAGGCTGGTGTGACGACACCAAGCTGGTGTATTATTTATGACGAGGACGTGACCACCAAGCTGGTGTATTATTTCTATTATTACTTTTGTTTTTATATTATTATATTATTATTATTATTATTATTATTATTATTATTATTATTATTATTATTATTATTATTATTATTATTATTATTATCACCATCACTATAAATATCTATTACCATCACTATACACAACATTATCACCATCACTATAAATATCTATTACCACCGCTATACACAACATTATCAACATCACTATAAACATCTATTACCATCACTATACACAACATTATCACCATAACTATAAATATCTATTACCACCACTATACACAACATTATCACCATCACTAAAAATATCTATTACCACCACTATACACAACATTATCACCATCACTAAAAATATCTATTACCACCACTATACACAACATTGTCACCATAACTATAAATATCTATTACCACCACTATACACAACATTATCACCATCACTAAAATATCTATTACCACCACTAACAATACATACACCTACTATTATTCTATCCATTCACTATAAATATCTATTACCACACTATAGCACAAAATTATCACATCACTATAAATATCTATTACCACCACTATACACAACATTATCACCATCACTATAAATATCTATTACCACCACTATACACAACATTATCACCATCACTATAAATATCTATTACCATCACTATACACAACATTATCACCATCACTATAAATATCTATTACCATCACTATACACAACATTATCACATCACTATAAATATCTATTACCATCACTATACACAACATTATCACATCACTATAAATATCTATTACCATCATATACACATTATGACCATCACTATAAATCATCTATTACCATCACTATACACAACATTATCAC